CTTGAAAAACCTACAAGAGACATAAGCAACAGTAGTCTAGGTCCTCCAATAGAGAGGTTAGAATAAGTTGGTACCCGACTTTTTGCTGTAGTCTAGTTGAGTAGGCGCCTCCAATCAAAAAAGAAACGGTAAAAGGGCACTACTGGGGGACCGAGTACGGCTTAAGTGCCCCCAGGAAAAAAAACAACAGTACTGACAGATTCCCTTGAAAAACCTACAAGAGAAATAAACAACATATGAGATACCGGCAAAACCCACAGCTTCGCGCACAACGGGGGGGGGGTTGGAGCCGAATCGGTGGAGTTTGGTGGTTAAGGACGTGGTTGTCCATTTACCGTCTACCGTGCTTCAAATCCCCAAACCAACCCAAAGCACCGATTAAGCGATACCTGAAGTACATGTGAAAACAAAAACAAGTGACTTGTTTTATGAACCTGGTTCTAACCATGGTTGCAACTGCCGAATCCTTTGGGAGAACTTTCGATCTGCAAGAGGACACCTGTTAATAAGGGGCGCATGTTCATCATTTGCCCAAGAGGACACGATGGTAGACCACCAATGGTTTTCCCAGTTGCTCATATGGGTATGAATACTATTTGGTGGACATCATTCGGGGGAATTCATAAGCTTCAAGCACTTGCAAGGTGGTTCATATTCACCCGGGACCTGAAACAACCACTCATAAAATGATGGATTCCGAAACTGCAATTCACAAATGGTGGTGTCCTAAACCATGGTCTATTGAGAGGAAACAGTTCCTTGGAAAACCACAATTTATAAATGGCCGTTTCAGCTTCAGAGAGCCGGACACTTGCACGGGCGTCGGACCCTGTGAACGAAGGCTCCTCGCCACATTCCATGTTTGGATCTTATTCAGGATCAGGACCAAAGAGTTTGACTGCCTTCCCAGCCTTCCCCGCCTAGCCCCCCTGTTCCTCAGCAAACATGGGCGTCAGCATCAACTTTGGAACAGCTTCCCACCAGCTCATCGGCGATCTCAACCTGATTTGCAGTTTTTTGGTTATTATTTTTTTGCGGCACTGGTCATTGACAGCTCGCCCGCGGCGCCAGCGCCAATGTATGTGGCAAAGCAACATCATCTTGCAGTGTTGGTGCTTCTTGCACTTGAAGGACATGTACTCCTTGCCTTGCCATGCCTTTCCAAATGGAAGTGACCTCTGTGCGGGCGAAAGGCACACGTGATACCCCCCAACCTCCCGACTTCAAGCGGGCAATCTGAGCGAATGGCAAGCCTCCCGGCGGCACTTCAGTTCTGCCGACTTCCAAGCAGCTGAATTAATCAGACGAGTCCATGGCTCACTTTGGCACCCGACAAGCCGAGCTCTGGCGATTTTTTTCGAGTCATGGGCTTAACCCCGAATTCTCCTCCGTCAAGAGCTCAAAGCTAAGAGCCACTACTCAACAAGCTGGGGTTTGACTCCAAGATTCTACTCAACTAGAACCTTCTTTTCTTTTTCTTTTTCGGAGGCCAACCACATTTTCTCCACCAGGCAAATGCCCCTGGAACCTCCAGCTGGGGGTCCAAAAGCACGCGCCCCCGGCGCCGCGCTCGCGCGCGCTCGCGCCCCCGGCGCCCTCGATCGCCGGCCTTTGCGGCGGCTCTCGGGGCGCAGGAAGCCCTGCAGATCCATCGGCCCATCGGTGCAGAAGGTGAAGCGCTTCTGGCCTCCGGTCTCGACAGGTGTTTTGCCTTTCTTTTTCTTTTTCCGACCGATTTGTCCCCGTTTTCTTTTTGTTTGTTTTCGTTTTTCGGGGGGAGCCCTTTTTTTTGGGATGGTTTCAAAGGGAAACCAAAGGGGACACCTTCATTTTGGGGGTTCCCCCAAAAATAATGTGCGTCAAACGGGAAAGACACCCCTGCATTTGATAACAACACTGTTCTGAAGCGCCAAATATGTCCAGCAAAAGGTGCTCGGTTTGGCCTCCGGTTCACAATCTGAAAAGAGAAGAGGAATCTGCACACTCTCCGCACCACAGCCAACATTGCCCGCAAGAACTACAATATTTATCATTGGACACGGACATGGAGAACTCCATCATACCGCGCGAGGAAAAAATGGAACAAGGGCCCATGCAGAGTGCTAGCGCAGCTTAGGACTGTCGTGCAACATCTCCCGACTCAGCAATATCTTGCGTGCAGCTCGGTCTCTGCTGCCAACTTGGATTCATAGGCCATTTTCGGCTGCTCATTATTTCAAACCCAAGACCACATAAACTTTCTAGATTAGATGGTTTTAACCCAACAGAAGAATCCTTTTGGCCAACAAGAAGCGACTGGCAAGTCAATGATAGCGCCAACCGGTCGGATGGGCCAATCATGGCACAGCATCGCACGTAGGTCCCTTCATGGACCATCTTGCAAGAGCTTGATTGGACACACTGACACACTATTGGTCGACCAAAATTTCATCCATGGCCGTTCCATTACTCTGAATTCAGCCACTCGGATCGTCGTAGTCCTGAATTCGGTCCTCTCAGAGATGTGAGTGAGTCTTCAAATACGGAACCCCCAAACATGCGGTTGTTGCTTTTGGTTTGCCTTTGAAACGAAAATAGAAGGTACCCGCCGAAAAAAACAGCCCCACACTATGCCAAGCAGCCATCAATCGCCTTGTGAGCGAGTCGGTGCTCTTCCAGAAACTCGTAAAACTCTCGGAGCACCACGTCCAAGGGATCTGCCTCAGCGCTAGCTTGAAGCCACGCCACGCGCTGTGTGAGTTCAGCCAAATTCTAGGTGAAAGGACATGAGCCTCAAAAGAGCAACATTCTCTCCAGGTCATTCTCGGATTGCACTCCAAAATCAGGTTGCAACACAGTGTGCATGTGCTGGCCTCAGCGGACCCGGTTGCCCCCCAAAAAACGGATATTGAGACAAAGCTTGACTCTGGGATTGACAACTCCGCAGGGAATTGCCTGTGGAAAAACGGGCAGCCTAGGAACACGCAAAAAACCATAGTTGAACCAACTGAACACTAAGGAACATACCACTGAACACCGACTGGGATGCTTTCTCTTTGATTGGAGCTCCGGCCAGACACCCCTACCATTAAATCAGGCCGGCCAATGACAAATTCCTGCAATCAAATGCATCGGCTGCACAGCACTGAGAGAAAAGAGGTCAAGCTTGTGAAAAGATAAACGGCCATCCCCCCCGAGGCAAATACAAACCACAGCAAAACAAATGAAGGTGATTTGGGGTTCCGAGTTCAATGCTAAAAGGGGATCTGAACGAGTGGCCAAACAGACATTTCATATCTGGCAAGGCCTATTGATATGGGCATGAATTCTAATTCGGGACCCTCTGGACATCATTTAGGCGGGATGTTATGTCCACCAACCCCTTTCCAGGTGGTTCCTCACTTTAAATTCATGGCCACACATAAACAAATACAACGAACAACCAAAACAAAAACGGAAACCCAAAAAAAAGCTGCCTTCCGTTTCCGGGTTTGGCTTAATGGCCAAGAGGCATCGTCGACCCAGGACTGCTGGATGCCGGTGAGCTCCATGCAGAACTCCTTCGATGGATGCGTCGAGACTTAATTACGGGACATCCAACTGGTTTCCCGGCACCAAAGCCTGGGCTCCAGCCGACTGCCGTTTTTTTTTTTGCCTTGGGCTCCAGCCAACTGCGTTTTTTTTTTGTTTTTTGTTTCTTTTTGGGGACAGCCTGGGTTCATTCCATTTTTTTTATTTTTTGTTCGGGGACCAAAGCCTGGGTGAAATCCCATTTCACCTTGCCCACCGATTTCGCCCCAAGTTTAGCAGCTTTCCTGGAATGAGTCGGAATGAGCCCAGAGACCATCCCGGAGTTGTTCTTTGTTGGGGAATCCCGAAAGGTGAATTCATTCCCAACACCCGGAAGGGTCATTCCCTGCCCAATTTTAGGATGACAATCTTTTTGGTAAATCATGGGTGGCTGTACGCACCCCCTTTGATTGAATCTTGGCTTGAACCCCAGGGCGAAGTTTATGGGGTAACCTCCTTTGTGTTAGGCCGAGCTCTGTCCGCATCCCTGGGTTTACTCGTGGATATGTGACACCCACCTGTTCAACGCCATGGGTTTCGGGATATGAGCTAGAGCCACAAACAAATGTGGTTTGTTCTTGGTTAGGCATGTTGGTTAAGCATGGTGAGCACAACTTAGCAGGGGATTCACATGCTTGAGTGCTTGGCTGTCGTGATTTCATGACCCAGCCAGAGATCATGTTGTGCAGGGGTTCCAAGGTGCGTCAATCATGCAAGTACACACACGCGCAAAACGTTAATCGTTGTACATATATGCATGATCAAAGAAGTAAGTACATTGGTCCATGCATGCATACATGTTTCAGAAAGTTAAACATGAGCTGCACTGTTTGAAGGCTGTGCCACCTGAGGCAAGCACTGTGGGGATGTCAAAGAAATTTACCAGCGTGCCTTTTGCATGTGTTCAGAGCTGGCCCGAGAGTGCGTGCGAGCTTCAAACCAAGGCGCAGAGACCCGAAACACAAGCACATGGTTTAGCCAGTTTCTCTGCCGAAGACATGAGCTGGCAGCATGGCAGCATGGCCCCGAAATGCGGCGGCTTCTGCTCCCGGAAGCTGCGACTTAGGCACGGTTCTGACTTGCTGGTGCGATCTCCGTTCTTTTAATCTGGGTGAATTGTAATGTTTCACCAGCCTGAAATAAGGTGCTTGGGGGGCCATTCCCCACATAAACCACCACTTGGGGTGAGGTCGCGTGAGGGCGATATAATTCACCCAGTTTAATGGGCGGTGAACCCTGCCGTAATTCGGGGGGGTCCCTAGACATTCGCAAGCCAACCCCTGGCTTTCCGGGTGCAATCCCTCCCCTCCCCTTCGCCGCCCATTCGCGTCCGTAAGCTGCGGCCTCTCTGTAGGCCGCACGTAGCGGTGGAACTCCAAATCCACCTAGCGACAAGGCGCGCGACGCGCAAACTTAAAGGGGCGAGCGGGTGCGTCAGGTGGGTGTGGGTCAGAAATAGGTACCAAAAATGGAAAATGGAATCCTGGTAAGTGGAGACGTGGACTAAAACCCGCGGTTTTTCTGGTGGTTTAATTTTGACCCATACCCAGGCAAGGGGCGAGTAAGCCTGATAACCCACTGAACCCGAGACTTATATCCATGGCTTTTACCCACCTAAGTACCCTGCCCCTTTAAGTAGCTGCTTCGAAAAAGACACGTTTCAGCTTCCCTCCGCTTGGTTTGGATTGGTTTGGAGGTTAGGCCGGCTTCCCACTACAAGAACCAAGGGTTCAAATCCCCAATCCGCAAAGCCCACGCCACCAACTAAGGGTTACCTGGTTACCTTAATGTTGGCTTGCGTTGGATGTTCATACACATTTTTACGCATTTCAGTGAGGTGATGCTGAGCACAAACCACCGTCAAAACGAGAGGATTCGGAGAATATGAAGCAGGGAAACTTGAGAGTGCATGCTTAGCCACTCAACACCTCAACACTTCCTTCTCACATGGTCGCTCGATTCGGACGTTGACCGTCAAGGAAGGAATATTTGTCCGTGTTGCTTGGTAACGAAGGCGACCAAAGGAGTTGCCTCCGTTCGAGGAAACCAACTTCATGCATCCGGATGCCCAGAACGAGCAGGAGCCCTGGACAAATCGATTGGCAATGACTCAGCAAGAAATGCGCAGCCTCTGGTGCTTCTTCATTTGTCGCGGCAATGTCAAAAGAAACCGCAATCATGCAGAACCACACGGCCATGCCAGCGTGGTTTGGATGAGAACAACCAAGGCCATAGTCAAGAGCCAAAACGGCGCCGCCATAAAATCCACAAAACTGAGCCAATAGCGGTGCCTCCAAACATCTGCGGTGACGGACGAAAAGTCATAAGCTCGTGCCAGTAGTGCAGCTTCGTGGGACGCATACAATCCCTCCATTTTCTGAAAGGGTACAGAGCAACATGTCCCATGGTCCAAATCATTATGCAGATGTGGCTCTCACAACGTAAGCTAAGAACAGGCACTCGAGACCTACCGACAGCAAGGCACGCCTACATGCTGGTTCAAACGGAAACCAGCCCAAAACACTGCACGTGTGTAATTTAGTGTTGAACACAAAGTTCCAAAAAAGGCAATCCAATCAACTTTGAAAATGGCAAGCACGACTTTAGCCATTGCAAATGCCAGCAACTGCAAATGTCGATCACGGATTGAGGAACCTTGCGATTTTTGGTAAGATGCTTGCCCAACAGGCTACGGATGAATGGGACACCCCCTCATGCCCAGTAAGGATGAATGGGACACCCCCCTTTTAATGGTTTTAATCCTTTAATTTGGTTCCTGGCCTCAAGGGTTTCAGAATTCAGGAAAACCACCGGGAACTCGATGATCTCGTGCTTGTACTTCCTCCGATACCATCCGAAAAACTTGAGCGGCTGCGAGAGAGGACACAGCTGGAGCCCTACGCCCACATGGAGAAATAGGAAAGCTGCTGTACCATTGAAGGTTCAATCAAGTTCCCTACAACTGAAATAACGGCCGATTGGTTGCACGCAAGCCGAGCTGTGTCGATACCAACCACAAGTTATACAGCTTTGCTCTGAACCAAATTGTTCCTGCACACGAGCTACTACAAACGTCTGTAGTTCTACACATGTACAGATGTGCGTGTCAGCGCATAGCTAAGCCGACACATAGATATACATGTGCAAACAGCACAACACACATCAATATTCACGTGTCAATACCAAGCGTTAAGAGTCACATACATACATTGTTGAATGGCAGTACTATGAGACCATTCACACAGCTCCAGCATGGACAAAAGCAACACACATGTGACAGCAGTCGCCACGCGTGCGCCATCTGCAAGCAGACATCGCATCTGCTCCTTGATAAGCAAAACTGCTACAGTACGCAACTTCGTAAGTGCTACGATGCACATGGCCGTAAGCACAATTTTGGGAGGGTTCCCTAAAACAAGACGCCCACATCATGATTTGTCATAAGCCCTGACCAAAACTTCAACCTGGGCCGTTGGCCAAGGGCCTGTTCACCCTAAACGATGAGGTTTGACATCAGGAACATGAAACAAGAATCACCATGGCCCCTTCAAAGCTTGAGATGGCCCAGTGAAAGCACAGCCAGGCCTGACCATGGTCGTCCGATCGCAAGTGCACTCGAAGTCGACCACTGCAAAGTAGTCTGGATGTGCCTGGCCAAGTAAAACTCGCAGCTTCACCTTGGCTGCAAGCAGAGCATTTGATATGTGGGTGAAAAAATTAACGAGGGGACCACCGGATTAGGCCAAATGTGTCCATTTGAAGGATTCCCCTTTTTGTACCTAATTTTGACCCACAGCCAGTATGTTCAAGGAGCAAGGGTGCCTTGAAGACAAGCTATCTTCGCTTGCAGTGAGATCTTGCGGAATGGTGCCACGAGAATTACATACAAGATCCTGACTCTCCTTAGGCCACGCTGATGCGTGAAGGCTTCCTGATGACTCTGGACCCTTGGTCGTGTGTGGGCTTTCCAGCAGCCTTTCCCGCAGCCAAGGCCTTGTTAAGGGTAAGGGCTTGTTTGGGCTCCCTCCCCCTCCCCTTCCCCCCCCCCCCCAGCCCCCATGAGTTGTCACTCTTGCCCTCCCCAGCTGGCTTCGCCTCTTCGGAGCTGTCGAGGCTCGCCTGTGAAAAGGACTCGGTTCTCGGGTTCGTGCGGAAAGCAAATCGCTCAGGTCCAGCGCGGAGCATCAGCTAACATCGTGTGGCTGCAATTTTGGCATAGGGCAACAGGGCAAAAGAACACCACAGGACTGAAGCTCCTTCTATCATAATATTAAGATTGACATTGCCATGTCTCAGGTCGCATTTCACAAGTGGGCGGTGAAGAAACCTATTGCACCCCCTCCTCGTTTTTGACGGCGGATTGTCACGGATAGGCAACCACACCCGCGCAAATGTGTGCCTAACTTGTGCTCGTACAGTTAGAACCGAACAGCAGTGACATTCCATTCCAATATTGTAGGATGTTGCATGGGGCCTGCGGATGATATGAACGTCTTTGAGTTGCATCTGTGCTGTCGTCTGCCAACCATATCTGCAACCCCATCAAACGCATTCTGCGTCCCAAAGCTGGGCTTGGATGAACATGAAGCAATAATCAACAAATGTGTGAGCACACCAGACAGACAAGTTGGGTCTCAGTATTGGACTTTGCTTGTTTTTGAAGAATGTCTAACCTTTACCATCTTGCAATGGACTTTTTTCTCAAGCCTTCCTTCCCACAAGAGAAGGGAAGGCTAAAACCCAAACAGCCAGAGCACAAAGTGCAAGGTTGCAGCCAAGGCAAGGTACAAGAGTGCGCAGCAAATGCAACTGTCTCTTCTGAAACAAAAGATCTCTAGGAGCTATCATCAGAGGGGTGGAATTGCCCATGCGGGGTCGCTATGTGCCAATTGCGTTGACGGACACGAAATACCTCTCGTGGATTTCTTTGCAGTTTCCACAGGGCCATCCAAGGTGTGTCTTCCTGCGTTTCGCAGCAGCTGACCTAACTCGGTTGCTTTCCGCTACCCCGCTAAAAGTTCAACTTTTAGTGGTTTAATGAAAAACCCATTAGTTAGCAAAAAGTTAAAGTTCCAACATCCAAGCAAAATGCACCAAAGCTAAGATGTTATTAAAGCTGCAGGCACTTCCGTGTCTTCACGTCCAGGTGATCGTTGGCGGCTATGGAAGCCACCTCTTGCGTAAAGGAAACGCGTGAGGACCGTGGATGCCACAATCAACGCCTCACTCAAGCAGTGTCCAAGCCAAAAAACGGCCTTTGTCTCTTTGAAGCAAACTTTGTATTTACGTAGAAACAATGCCAGATTGTATACTATTATAAATACAACAGGGATCCTTACGTTATACACCTGAAGATTGCCTTGTAAATGGTGCTTTCCCTTTATTTTGATGGAAAAAGTTATGTTTCAAATGGGCAAAATGTATCTTTTAAGGAGCCCTGTGTTACAACTCCTTGATAAATGCTCAGGCCGGCTGTGGGTCAAAAATAGGTACCCAAAATGGAACCCTGGTAAATGGAAACATAGACTAAAACCTGCGGTCCCCTGGTAGTTAAGTTTTGACCCACACCCATAGGAGACATCTATGCCCCACAAAAAACGAAACCGTTTCGGTTTCCCCGTGTCGCGTTTCGCGCGCTTCGGCGCTTCTCAGCCTCCCCCACCTCATCGAGTGGCGCATCGCAGCTTGCCTGCAGGCAGCTTGAGACCGAGAAACGAGCGAGTCGCCTGAGGGAACTTGCGATCGGTGGGATAAGTAGGGAATGTGGGGAATGAACACAGGAATAGGAAACCACCAGTTGGATGGCTTGTAATAAGGGTCATTCCATTTCTCATTCCCTGCTAAGAACCAGCAGGGAACGATGAAACAAACTTCTGCAAAAAGTCACTGAATTGAATGCCAGAAACTGTTTACTGCACCTGGTTCTCTTCGACCCGTACTGAAACACGAGCAAAGGAGCCTAGCACACGTGCAAGTCGTCGGGCGGCAAGTCAATGAACATAATAAAAGTGACTGCTCGGAAGCTTTGCTCTCGAAACCGACTGATCAATTGGGAATAAGTTTGAGCCAAAGAGTCCCGATCAATGTTGAACTATCCGCGCGAACGGAGATGCGCACATGGTTCGTCATACATGCGGGTATTCGAGGCGAGCGACTATTAAAAAAAAAAAAAATGAACTATCTAAGCTGGTTCCTTCCATTTTCCTCAAACATGCTGGAGTTGAATGGGTTTATCAGGTGAATGACATGATTGGAGGAATTGGAGGATGCGTTGTCTTCAAAATATGGTCAAGCCTTAAAATGGGTGCTAGAAAGGCCCGCACTGCTTGCTTCGTTGAACTTCTGGGATTCATGCCGACTCTGATCCCCAAATGCCTTGGCCATTTGATCTGCGCGCCAATCAGTCCACCGTCCCCATAGCACACCTGCAACACGAGCTCTGTTCTTGGTCGACGTTGGAAGGGGAGCAAAAGTTCATTTTTTAGCAGTTAAGTGATTTCCCACTAAACCAAAACAAGCGAAAATGCAAAATGTTTCCCCAACAACAACCATGTGTTCAGCTTTTTGGAATCACATGTTTTGAAATCTCGCCTCAGGGGTCCCGTGATTCATGTCCCCGTTTTTGTTGGTCTTAATCACGCCTGGACAGGCGTCCCGGTGTCATTTTGCTTGAACTCCCGCGCTCAAACCATGCCACCCACCGAGCGTCGCCGTTACCTTCTGGCGGCGGTGCACAGGATTGGGAGTCCACAGGCTCCGAAGATCAGATGTTCCACGATTCACAGCTTCAGATGGCTTCCAAAAATACATGCGCCCAAATTCAAGCCGAACAAAACTTAACAGCTTCTTCAGGTTTCATATGTTTGTCAAAGTTCATATTCGAAGCGCAAAACCTATGCCGCCATAGACGTCCAAATTGGACCTCTCCATAGATCCGGCCTCCGCCTCGGCTGCCATCTACCGCGTCCGCTTTAAAAGAAAAGCGCAGCGCATGGGAACCATCACCTGTTCTCCAATCGAATCGTGATATGGCTGTGGGTCAAAGATGGGATATGGCTGTGGGTCAAAGATGGGTACCCAAACTGGAACCCTGGAATCTGCGGTCCCCTTGTGGTTTAATATTGACCCACACGCACATGGCTTTGGTTGTCCTTTCGGTTCCCCTGCAAAATCAACCACCGTTTGGGGTCCCTCAAAAGACGCATATAAGAGTCAATCAAAGACAACAAATCGTGAGAATGACACAGATACCTTTGGACAGGCTCGGTAATGTTGTACTACACAGTCGTTGTGGCTCTGCGAAGTGAGGAAATGGCGGTTCGATGGGGTTCAATGCGGTGCCATTGGGCTCGGCGCCCGTCCACGTGTTGGCAAACATTGATCGGAAGAAGCCAAAATTGGCTGCGGACGACCAGCGAAACACCAAACCTGAAATCGATTTACACCGATGGCCTCTGGTGTCTTTTTTTGGGAGGGCAGGTAAGGTTGCGATGTGTTGCATGTATTCTTCCAGACGAGCTTGTCATTTCTCCTTGGACAAGTTAGCCGCCTGCCGGAGTGCCCTCTTTTCTGATCTTGCGATTCGCGGTTTCTTGGAACGGGATCTTCTTCTGGAATTCAATGGCCGAGGAACAAAAACATATTCCACGGAGGCGGGAGTGGTTGGGCAAGAGTCCATCGCAAGTGCAGGACACAGCAGAAACAAGGAAGCCGTAGAAACGGCATGTTATTCATCTGCTTGACCAAGCCTGGGCCTTGCTTTCCACTGTCAAATAGAAAGCTCAAAGAGGATTTTGCGCACAAGAAACAATCTCACCCCTCCCCAGTACAGCTTCTGAACTTGCCTTTACCGCTTCGACTCCTTTGCATGCTTTTCGCAACTCTGATTCCACGACAACAAGGAAATGGCCTGGTATAGTTAGCCATAGTTTCCCATACAATGCCATACAACTCGCTTGCTCGCAAAGAATGAATCGAAACACAACAGGTTCACCTTGCGGAACCCGAGGGTTTGGTTGAACTGCCAACAACACGTTTGCGACGTGTGCAACATCCAGAGTTGAACACCTCACATGCTAGAAAATCGATTGTTAACTCTTCGTCTTGTTGCTGTTGCAAAGGACCTTGAGAGCAAAGAGTAGGAACCTGTTCGACAAGTAAGCTGAGTCATATCTGTCGCTCCTCGTGCATGCCTCTGTTCTCCGAATTTCAAGACAAACACCATACTATGGTAGCATCACTTAGCAGGGTTGATATGAAACCCGAAAGGAGAACACAACAACATTTTGGAGTCTCGAAACAGAGGACCCCACACAACGGTTGCTTCCTTTTGGGCTTCCGGAGTTCCAAAAAACATCACCCCACACACACAAACCATGTTAAGGTTCCCTTTGGGAAGCCTCCTAAATCCCGACCCAAAAACATCAGCACGTCCTTAAAAAAACGAAGACACCCCCATGGCACCGTCCCTCCCTCGTCCCTCCCCGCCCCCACCGCCGCCCCCGGTCCAGGTCGCGGCCCAGGCGGCTGAGATCCTTCACGAAGATGGGGCCCCAGGGCAGCGCGTGCTGGCGAGATGCAGGGAAGGAGACACGGTTAATGACCCTTATAATGTGTTTAATGTGATCCATCGAGCTGGCTTTGTTTGCTAGGGGACCCCTGGGTTCATTCTCCAACTGGTGGTTGGCTTTAAAGTGACCAATTCCTGGGTTCATTCCCTCATTCCCTCCTGAGCAAAGGCCGCCGAAATGGCCAGGGCGTCCTTCTGATTTGTGTTCCCATTTTGCACGCCAACCCGGCGGTTTACAAAAACACACACCCGAGGTAGGGAAAGAATCCCATCCAGGGCTTCGATGTGAAAGTATTGTGTAGGTGATCCTGGCTTCTGCTTGGCTCAGGCAGGAATGGCTAGTTTGACTTAGTACAGAACTAAGTATCACAAGTTGTGGTTGTGCTTTGAAGGAATATGCGAAGGCTTGTGAACAATGCGTTGGGACAGCATCGGACAAACGCTAACATCATCTAATCAAAGCTGACACTTTGTGTCTGGAATGCTTTGCGAATTTACCAATACATGATTGCAAACATCCCCAAATTGTGTTTTTTGCCCGCGTGCAGTTTCGAAACCATCAACCTATTTCGCGCATCGCGGGCGCAGACCTGAAGGAATTTGGTCATTGGAACAAATGCTATACAAATTGTGAATACTAGAATGGACACGGTTCACAACACGCGAACAGCTCGCGGCCGAAATCCTCTATCTCCAGCAACTCGCTTTCGCTCTCTCTTGATACTTGCGAAAAGCAGCATTTGCGAGCCATGAACCAGTGAGGTTTCCCTGCAAGATGTGCGTTTGCTTTGACACTCATTTGTAGTGACAATTCCCCCGCCTCAAAAACCAGGGGGCAGCAAACACATTAGCCATGTTTGCGCAACATGATTCACTTTCATGACCAACATTGGGTCACTTTGTGGTAACTGTAAAGCACCCAATGCATAGCAATGCGCCCAAACCCGGCAAATCCATAGCGGGCGAAGCCCGTACCTGGCGATACAGACGATGATGAATCAGACCTTGGCGACTGGCAAAGGTTATCACCCGCTACCAGGAAAATGCTCAGTCTCCAAACAAGGCACTGCCTCTGAGTTTTTGCTGACAGACGCACGCTTGCACAAACCTGTTGGACTTCAATTGTTGCTTTGTTGATAAACTCATATAAGACAAGGCGCGACAATGCCGTCCCCCATTCATTCAGCAACACGCCTGCTGGCTCCCTAGTCTGGGTCAGGATTCAGAAATCATCCCAATCGAGTCAGAAAACAGGAAATCACAAGTCACCACCAAATGGTAGGACCTTTGAGAAAGCATCCGCTGCATCACCTAGCTGCGCCCGTCAGCATTGGCTCCTTTCTTATGCAGCCTAGTTTGGTTACATGTTATATTTCCGGTTGCTATTTTTTATCTTACCGTTCATCTATCTTTGAATTGACTAGGCGGACCAGTGGTCTGCCTCTGTACGTATGATGATCACTACTTGCATACACTACTGTGCATGTATGGGTATAATCTATGCACACGACAAATGCCACGTGAGCGGCAGTTGCTTGCTACAGGGTAGATGGTCGGGTAATACCACCTCGTTCTCTAACCCTGCACTAGTTGCACTAGTTTGGACTCATTAGCCTCATTGTCCATCGCTGCATGTGTTTGTGATCCAACCGCATACATGTCATGGCCCTGCCTCGTTTTGGGAGTGTTCCCACCCTGTTCTGAACCTCATTCAGTATGCTACCCCAAAATGCTCTCGCCCCGCTTGTACTGTGAGTCTTCTATTAATACAGGCAGTCACACATAATATGCGCGAAATATGTTCTCAAGCATGAACCTCGTCGCATTCACAACGACCAAACCTGCTGAGCTGGTTGCTGCGTTCTACATTGTGCACGCAAACACTTTATAAACACATACACGCAGTGTGCTTGACACATTGCCGAGTGCAGCGCGAGGGTTTATATCCGTGTTGACATATTCCACAGTGGGTCGCACAACACAATTCACACAGCGGTTGCCTAAAGCATAGCTTTCGATAATCTCCGCATTCGTACAGTTTTTTACCATAGTAGTGAAACCTGTGGATAAAAAAACAAAAAAAACGAAAGTGGGGTTGATCAAAAGGTCCTCTACATGGGATGACCGTTGGGGAAGACCACTCAAAATACTCTATTTCCCACCAAATGGGAAAAGTTACTCAAGGTCATTTGGGGGCCAGGAATATTGATCAACACCCAAGTATTCATGGAACTGTCTGTTCAAAATGAGCCTGGCGCTCACAACCTCCTGGCTGGGTCCTCCGGACGGTCAGGGTCGATCTGGTCGATCACCCAGTCAGCATAGTCCTGTTAGCAGGCCCCTAGGTTGGCATCTGCCACTGGAGAGAAAGGGGTCAAAGGACCGGGTTTTGCATGGGTGTCGGGTGTCAGACACAAGATTATTTTTGCCATGTGGGTGTGTTCTTCTTGAGGGTAGCTTTTTTTCGTGGTGCCTTTAAAGTGAAACGAAAAGCAAGCAATCGACCTTTCAGAATTCGCGCGCAAGAATTGCGCTCAACTGCAACACATGAACAGCACATAAACTGAACAAACCGAACTCTGCGCTAAGCTTGCTGATGACTCCCCGGGGAGTGACTCGGGCCCTTCACGTCTGCGCACGAATGATTTCGCTGAACAATCCGAGGTCCATCTGTCAAGAGAGTCATGGTACTATCCTTCGTGCGTTCAGCTGCTAGAAGCTACCAAGTGCAGCCCGACACTGTAAACAAACGGCCCCAAAAAGCTCCCCCCCCCACCCATGTCGGCTGGCCCAAAATCCTGCGCGGCGGGCCTTGAAATTTTCGGGGTTCGTCGGCGTCCAGCTCCATGGGTCCATTTTTGTCGAAAATGTGCTCACAATTGCAAAATCACTAAAAAACTTGCTTTTTTGTCCTGAAAAGCATGACCTCCTGAGACTAGGCTCAGGCCCAGCCCAACCAGCAACCCGCCTGCTGGCTGTCAGCCCAGCCCAGCGAGCCTGAGGCCCAAGCTTGTCTGAAACAGGCAGCAACCCGCCGAAGCACGGCCCCAAGTCCTCCAGCAAGCCCAGCCTGCCCAGCCGGCGCATCTCAGCGCATGCCAGCCACTAGGCCGGCCCCCAGCTGAAGCTAGTCTCAGCCACAAGGTGGGTTGCTGGCTGCCGGGCAGCCTGGAACTTGGGCTGGGCGGGCTGGGCTGAGCTGTGCTTGGGCGGGTTGCTGGATGGGCAAGGCCTGTTTCATACACACTTGGGTCTGAGGCTTTGCTGGCTGGGCTGGGCCTGAAGCCAGTCGCAGACACGTAAGACAAAGGGCCTGCTGGATGACTTGGGGCCAGACGCGAGCAGGAGGTCAAGGCTGAGCTGCTTGGGCAGCCGGACTGAGGGGCTGAGGCACGTTAGACTGGTCGTTGGCCTGAGGCCAGTCTCAGACACGTTAGCTGGGCTGAGCCTGTTGGTGGGCTGGGAGCTGGGGGCCGGCCTAGTGGCTGGCATGCTCTGACATGCGGGCTGAGGTGGGTTGCTGGTTGGGCCTGAAGCTGGTCTCAGCCACAAGGCTGCGGCCATGGGTGGGTTGCTGGCTGGGCTGTGCTTGGGCAGTGGGCAAGGCCTGTTTCATACACACTTGGGCCTGAGGCTGGGTGGCGAGTTGCTGGCTGGGCTGGGCCTGAGGCCAGTCGCAGACACGTAAGACACGCCAGCAGGCGGGCTGAGGGACTGGGCCTGAGGCTAGTCTCAGGCTGGCATACTTTGAGATCAGTTTGAGACTGCGCCGAAGAGGGGCTGGGCCTGCTGAAACTTGGGGCCAGACGCGAGCAGGAGGTCAAGGCCTGGCCAGCCGGGGCTGAGCTGCTTGGGCAGCCAGACTGAGGGGCTGGGGCACGTCAGACAGGCTTCGTAGCTGGCGTAGCTTGAGGTCGTTGGCCTCAGACACGTTAGACAAACCTGACCTTGGCACGCTGGGCTGAACCAGCAACCCACCTCAGCCCAGCCTGCCCATCTCAGAGCATGCCAGCCACTAGGCCGGCCCCCAGCTCCCAGCCCACCAGAAGGCTCAGCCCAGCGTGCCAAACGTGTCTGACACTGGCCTCAGGCCAACGACCAGTCTCACGTGTCTGAGACTGGTCTCAAGCTACGCCAGCTACTAAGTCTGAGACTGGTCTCAAGGTATGCCAGCCTGAGACTAGCCTCAGGCCCAGTCCCTCAGCCCGCCTGCTGGCGTGTCTTACATGTCTGCGACTGGCCTCAGGCCCAGCCCAGCTAGCAACTCGCTACCCAGCCTCAGGCCCAAGTGTGTATGCCCGCCCAGCCGAAGTTCCAGGCGCAACCAACAGCGTAGTCCGGCTGCCCAGCAGCCAGCAACCCACCCATGGCTTCGCAGCCTCGTGGCTGAGACTAGCTTCATTCAGGCCCAGCCCAACCAGCAACCCGCCTAAGCAAACCCCACCCAAGCCCACCCTGTTTGAGACTCGCAGGCCTCAGCCTATCTAGCGCCGAGACTGGGCCTCACCAGCCTGGCCTCACCAGCCTGTGTTTAGATGAATCCTTGCTGAAATGAATATTCTTTATGTCCCCCTGTTGGTTTTACAGGGAAACTATCACTATTAAGGATATTTTTCCGGGGTACTTAAGCAAATGGAGGTTTGTATTCCCACCATGTACCTGTCTTGGGCTGAGCAACCGAGCAAGAAATGTATGTCATGGCAAGCCGCCAGCCACGTGAAATGGAGGTGCCCAAACACCCAAAGTTGGTCTTGGTTGTTCAGTGACACCAATTATTGTTCCCCTTTTTATGGAGGCCAAGCCCCACTAAAAATGCTCATCCCCAGAAAGAGGTCCTTTTTTTTCCAAGGGCACTGAGCAGCTGAGATAGTCTTGGTTTTGGATTTCAAACCTTCCGAGCAGGACGGCTTCCGAACATCGAACTAGCACGGGCGAACTGGTGCGGTCACAAGCTTTCAGTAGGATTCGGACCTTCCCAACACTGGATTTCGGTGTTCCTGACCCTTCCCTCAAGCTAGGCTGGGCCGAGGCGGGCAACGCGAAGCGTTTACAATTATTGGAGCAACAATTGAACAAGGTCAAAAAGATACAACTTAAGTTTCTCAAGAATGATAATAATCAATAACAATCACGTAAACAAGCGCTGCATTCAAGCGCGATTGTTTGAGCCAAAGCGAAAGCTCTTGCCGAGGTCATGCTGAAAGACACACTCACAGGCAGTCCACAGAACTTTGACAAAGGCATCCGAAGTACACACAAGGTGAGCTCCTGGGTTGCCGCCGTGAAAATGATGAGCTCGTAGCCGTTCTGGTGCATGCGCTGGACAAACTCCTGCATGCCAGGCCTGGAGACGGCAGCAAAGAAGCGAAAGAAGCGGGGTGGGTGGCTGATTCACTGAGAAATCACATTGGTTTGGATAATTACTCGGTTGCTTTCTTCTCCCCTGCTAAAAGTTGAACTTTTAGTGGTTTAATGAAAGACCCATTGGTTGGCAAAAAGTTAAAGTCCTAACATGCAAGCAAAATCAGGGATCCTTACATTATGCACCTGAACATTGCCTTGTCAATGGTGGTGTCCCTTTTTTGTTGTGGAAAAAACATGTTTCAAATGGGCAAAATGTATCTTTTAAGGAGCCCTGAAAATGCACTTCTGATTAGTTCATTCCAAGCCAATCGGTTCTCACTGTCAATACTAGAATTGGATCAACATCGGAAATTAAATTGTCAAAAGGTCGATTTGCTTTGGACAACTGAGGGTTTGAATGAGTCGCCCAGATTCCACACCGCAATGTTGAAGTCGTCATTCTCATCCCTGAGCAACTGCAGTAAGCACTGCAGTTGCTTTGGATGTGTTCGGGCTATGGACACGTGTCCAACAAAAGGGCTGCAAGCTGTGGCCGAAACACACCTCCTGTGCTCGGTTTCACCTCTGGACAGGACTCCAAACAGCGGAGGTGTCATTCAATGAAGACACACACTCCAAGGTCCCAACTGCGTACCCCTGGCTAGGTGCCCCTGCAAAATACCGCAGAAGCTTTAATACACCATGGGTACATACATGGTATGTAGCCATCTTTTCCAGTGGGATGCCAGGGGTACCTGCCGGGCACGTGGTTTGGCCCCCAGACACACGGACACCCAAGCTGATGAAATCGTAGGCTGCCCAGATCAGTCAGTTTGAAACGCAGACAGGAACAGTTCAGGATTGAAGGACTCCAGAAACCCTTGTTGCCAATCTCAAAGGGAGTTCAAAGCGTATACCAACCACCAAGGCAAGTTGCAAGATTCACCAACCTGAACTTCGAACAAAGAAGTAGACTCCCAAAACAAACAGAAGATACCTTCAGAAAGCTCGGAAACTCGGTCTCCATGTGCAGCCGGAGGCGGCATCGGCCTGATCTCGTAACTTCCCATGCCGTCGTGCTCAGAATAGTGCACCAGAGTCTCCTCGGAACTCTGAGTCGTCAAAAGCTGACATCTCCCAAAGACCTCTCCCCATAAAGGCCAAGGTCGATGAGTTCTAGCCGTTCTGGCAACAGACGCAAAATGACAGGTCTGAGATAGAGAAAGGTGGCTTGGAGAGCAACAAGTCCAACATGGGTGCTCGCGCGTACAAAGTACGAATCAAGGCCATGGACAGCAAAGCCTCGTGTCTCCCGCGCCTAGACAGACTCTTTGATCACAGGCAGAGGCAAACCCGCGAATGGAAGTTTTACAGGGAACTCTTGGCGGAGCAACGAAGACCACCCGCTCCAATCAAACACACTTTTGGCCTGGAGCCATCACCAAAGGAAGCCGTTTTGATGCAACACATGCAACTGACCCTGTCAGGCGTATCACAAAACACACACACACAGGAATTTTGCACATGTCCAACAACACACTCACACACTCACCACAATTCACAAGTTGCCGCCAAACAAATTAAGCTATGTTGCGTAGACCTGTGTTCATATAAAGATACTTGTCCTGTTGCATAGATTCATAGATTTGGGGACCAGGCCTGGAACTCGAGTTGCCATCAGCTTCGTAATGGGAATCAAAGGGAAAGCCACCATTTCTAGGGTATGTGTAGGGGTATCCTGCTTGCGGTGAAGCGAAATCCAAGGAAGACCGAAGCCATCTGTCGGATCTTCCTCATTTGACACCCATAGGGCCATGGACAGAGGGTTTCAAGCCTCAAATGAACTTCTGCAAACCATGGTATCTATAATTGCGACATTGGCCTTCATTGAGGAAATGGTAGGGGGGGTCGGATCTCCTTGTGCGATACGCCCACGTGACGTCCACGAACACCTCCATTTACCCAAAGGTTTTGGCCAGACCAATGTGATCAGCCTTTAGCTAAAGGCGTGCAGAGATCCGCATAGCCACCAAATAAGGTCCAATCGCATAGCACCTAAGGTCTACTGTTTGGCCTTTCTCCAATGCTCGGACCACTCAAACACACTGCCCACATTTGTCTCAGGCCGCATGTTTGCTGTTCCAACATGATTTTTATCTTGTGGTGTTCGGACCATTCTCGTTGATTCATTGTCAGCCAGGTCTATCAGTATAGTGGGTTTGATCAAGACGATCAGTGCTTGATGTAACGATCGGTGTGTATTCAAAAAGAAAACCAGACCACTGCAAACCACAAGAAATAAGAACAAAGCTGCCAAGTCCAAAACCTTTTTTTTGAGGACCCCTGTCCTTGAAGGAGTCTCGGAGTCTCGGAGATGCGCCGATTCACACAGAAAAGCTTTGGGGCTGTGGGGCGGAACCCCCCCCCAGCCAAGGCTCATCAAGGTCGAGGACCAGAGAGAACGCCTGGCGTTGAACGCCGGCAGCAGCCAAACGGGCTAACAGTCGTTGCTGGGCTGCAGATCTCAGATCCCCTGCTAAAAGTTTAACTCTAGGTCCTCCAGATTTGAAAGGATAGAATAAGTTGGTACCCGATGTTTTTGTTTTTTCCGGTTTTGTCTATTTTAGTACGGGAACCCTCCCCCAATAAAAAGGTGAGAAAGGGCACTACTGGGGGACCTAGAACGTTTAGTGGGTCAAATGGAAACCCAACCACTAAACCAACTAAAAAGCCAAAAAGCTAAGGGAATGGTTGGGAGCCACCAAGGCTAGTATTTTACAATGTGCTATGGTCAAAACTGCTGCTTTGCGGCCTATGGTCATGGTTCCCCCAATATGAGTCATTGGGAAATGGATATTAAGGATTCCTACCATGTGCATGACCATCCCTAACGGCGAGTAAAGGGGTCTTTTGACCATGCTATAGTCTTACATATCCCTTTCTCTTTCGCTTTGTGCTTCTTTGTGTGTGTCCATGTCTGGTATGCGCCAAAGAGTTGCTGGATGTCATCCACAGAGTCGTGCCACATTACTTGACCGGTTATGAGCAAGAAAGGTCTCAGGCCATTCAGTCAGAGTTCCTAAGACTTAGAAAAGGCATCTGCATTATTGCAAATGGACAGGAAGTCGTAGCATCTCTACTTGTTCCTTTTACAAGTCGACATGCAAAGCACTGAACACAAATCCTGGGAACATGAGGACTGCTCCATGCAGGTCACTGGCCGCTGGAACGTTGTGCAAGGTGAAAACGCGACGTGCCCCGAAGGATAAACAAGGGGAAGCAACACGTCAAGCATTGAAAATAACAATCTCATATCACCATCATCTCAGGGATCTAGACCTTTTAAAAGGGTAACTTCAAGAGTTAGGACCACAATTCCTGAGAGTCCCTTTGGCAACCCGGGCTGAGTGCCAGGCGTCCGGCATTTTGGAGGGCGGCAGCTTGGGGTTCGAGTCCAAGATCGGCAGCATGGGCGGCAGCGGCTCGAACCTCTGCGAAACAACCAAAAAAAAAACGCTCGTGTACCCCAAACGTGCACGTCTAGGGGGTGTGTCTCTGGGAAGGCACGACTCGGCTACAACAAACAGCTATGTATATCATGTGTCTTATGTACCATACATTGTATTCATACTATATACTGCGCAACATGGAGGGTCGGCCGGCTGGCCTTTCATTATCCTTGATCCCTGAAAACAAACCACGAAGCTAACCCCTTAGGTAACCCTCGTGGGAAGGATTACGGATTGCCTTTCAGCCCGGATACCTCAGGGATACATCAGTTCTTAAGACTGTAGCGGTGACGAGGGTCTCTTTAACTTCTTTGTTGGTCAACGGGTGCAGGTGGATTCCCATGCCCACGAGAAAAAGAAAAACAACAAAAAACATGGGAGGTATTCAGGCATTCCTCGGCTTCAAAGTGTGTCTTCTGTTAAATCAAATTCTGGCACTCGATCTTACTCTTCCACAAGTCAATCGCGCGTATGAGAGGAGTTTCTGTTCGAACCCCGAACGTCATGCCATGGGCCGTCAGGTCGAATCATTCCACCCGTGGCCTTGGCGCCTATGCGGCTATGGTCCAACGTGACGCGACACGTTGGAGTGTTCTTCACAGTGCGGTGAAGGAACCAGGCTTAGACACACTCTCCAACCTGACTGGTGGCTGGTGCTTGCAACCATCTTCATGCGCCGAGCACGTTGAAAAAAAGGAGGCTCTTCGATATGTTGGTGTGTCAGTTGATTGATTTGTTGGGGGGGAGTGGTTGAACATGGAGGTTGATCAAAAGCTCATTTACACGGGATGACCATTGGGGAAAACCGCAAAAAAAAAGAAGGATCTAAACAACAAATGATATGTTCCACTCAATGGGAAAAGCCACTCATCGGGGGCCCATTTCAAATGGAATATTGATCAACCCCCACGAGCCAAATTTGGGAAAACCACATGGTTTAATTCCCACTAGCTGGTGGTTTGGATGGTTTGGTAAAGGAGGGGTTTTCCATTAACCCTCCACAAAAATCAGGGGTGCAGATCCCCAAGCCACCAATCCAAACCACCAGCTAACTAGGCTGGAACTAGGACCCCAGCAAAAAGTTATCTTGTTTGCCTTGTCAGTCGAAAACAAATGGGACCCCAAAAAAGGAGAAACATAAAAAGGGGGAGCTAATTCTGGGGAAGCTAAGGGTTGCCTGAATGGGTCGATTCCCCGAGAAGTTTCCCTCACGCCGCGCAAAAAAACCCACACCGGGCGCGGCGCCAAATGATGGCGCCGTCCCGCGCGAAGTGCTCCGCGCCGTAGCGACGGTAGGGATCCTGCGCGCGCGGCCAAAAAAACATCGGGGGCTGTGGGGTGTGTGTCCCGTGTGTGAGGCTACACCTGTTGATTTTCATGGGAAATCGCAAAAAAACAAGAGGCTACACCTTTGTGTGCGCGGTTATGGGAAACCGCGAGAAAACCAGGAGGAATGTAAGCGGTAGAATTAGAACGGCCCATTTCAGGGGAGGGGAAAGCCTGGCGACTTCGCAGCCCTAGGGCCTCCGAGACAGTCCTTTTTTGAGTCTACACCTTTGTGTGGTTTAAATGGGGAACCGCAAGAAACCAAAACACAATTTGTTAGGGGTCCTATTTAAAAAACAAGAATAAGAACAAAAAAAAACTATCATGTGTCAAAATAGGGGTACCTCCAAAACGGTGACTTTCCTTTTTGTTTCTCCTTGAACCAACGCCACAAAGGGAGCCTCAAACAACACACACACACCGCATAGGAGATTACCTCCATTTGCGAGTATGCCCACCCCCAAAAAAAAACGGACATATTGCCAGCAGTGATAGATTCCCCTCGAAACCACCTCACGGGAATCATGCTTCTGAGGGGTGTGCGGTTTCTGAGGGTACCCTTTTGGGGGTTGGTTTGAAGGGAAACCCAAAGGCAACCGCCCATTCTCCGGCCCCCTTGACACATACCATAGAAATTCACCGCCAGGGCGGCCGTCCGCCAAAACATGAGCATGACAAATTCTGCAAACAGGGGCTTTGAGTGCACCAAGGCCCAAAGAACTGGGCAGTTAGATCCCCTGCCAACAGTTTTCCACTTGAGCTGGACACCCTCACGAAACCCGAATCCTGGCCCCAAGCTTTGGCCTTGCAGGGACAACACCGGGCAGTGCAAACGTGCGCGCCCTGCAAAGTCTTTCAAGCCTATGCTCGGGCATGCCGAGCGAGCCGCAGTGCATGAGCTCACACATATCAAAGCCAGGGCTAAGGTGCACCCTAAGGAGGCCTATGCCAGCTCCCCTAGCCTGGAAGGTGCTGCCGTGGAAGAAAGGATCCTTGATAGCATCCAAACAACATGAGCGTTGCATCAGGGGATCATTCAGCAACTGCACGTAACTTTGCACAATGCCGAAACGTGCCCTGAAAGGTGTGACCGTCTGCGCGCGCGTCGTCGTGTGTGCGGCGTGCGTGCAGTCACACCTGGTTGGTCTGCGATTCCAGAGAATCAAGTTGCATCATGTGGTCAGCACCCCAAACACAGCCAAGAAACACATCACTTGCTGGTTCAAACCCAACGCATGCATCATTCTCCCAAAATCTCTTTTGGGCCCAACCGATTCAAAGCAGGTGTCATTCTCCAAATATTAATTTCTGAGTCATGGCGACCTTCCATCACTTCCTGCCAAACACGTGTTTGCTTCCCGTAAAAACCCCGCCCTTGGCCCTCCCGTCCCACCCCGCGCCCCGCGCCCCGCGCCTGGGTAGGCCAGGGGCAGTCTGGGTCGCCGTCGGTGTTCAACAGCGCCTCAAAGCGGATGCAGCTCAGCATCTTGGACCTGGCGAGGCCCAAGCCACAGGGCAGGCGCTCACCACTACACACCCACCAAGGCACCCAAGGCCATGGGAAAAAATGGGTGCCTGAAGTCTCCACTTGAAAAATGGGTCCATGACCCCATGGCTGTGGTGGTCAAGACCGTGTTGGGGTCCCATTTCGGTTGGTAGGTGAATGCACCACCCATTTTGGAACAAATTTAGTGGTTGGATTGGGATGCTCGCTGGGGGGCAACCGGGCTTTTGACCCATGGCCACATGCCAATGGGCCCAAGGTACCCGCAACCAGGGCAGGCGCTCAGAACTACACACCCAAGGCCATGGGAAAAAATGGGGGGGTGGTTCTCAAAGCGGTACCCGGAAATTGGTTGTTGCCATTTGGTTTGCAGGCCCATGGACGTCAGGGAGAGGCCCACCCAAAGGAACCTGAATAGAGTTGCAGGCCTTACTAGAGTTGCCACTAGCCCTTTTGGGATTGCAGGGGGCCCTTGAAATTCATAACACCATTTGGCTAGGAACTTTAAGAGTTGAAACCTCAGCGGCCGAATTCTGTTCACCAACGGCTCAGGGTCCCAAGTGCAACCAATATGAAGTCAGCCTCAGATGCGCATTGGCACAGGAAGACACCGTCTCGGCGGGGCTATTTATCCACAAAGCTTTGCGTGTGGGGTGATCTTCAACCAAGTGATGGGTGCAAAAGCTGTTTCCTGAATCACAACAATGTTGTCTCAAGTCCTTTCTCTTCAAAGGTCCGTGACCAACCTCAAAGGTTTTTTTTTGCCCTTTGCCACAATCAAACCTGGCAAAGAGGGGCCGACCCCAGATGTCAAGAATCAAGAGTCGGCACCGATTTCTGGCCGGGGCTGCCCTTTCACCTCCCCGGTTGTTGCTTGCTCCAATTAGCTTTTGGCTCAAAATTCATATCGTTGATGGTCCAAAACCCATACTTCATGAATCATAAAATTGTAGAATCTGAAGAAACAGATCCGAGGTGAAAGGTCGGCAAAGGTCAAAGGTGGAAGAAACCGCTGTTGATCGCTTCAACTCCGAGTGTCCATAGCCTGGTACAGGGTGTAGGAGCCAAGAGAAGGGCACTTTGCAGGTCAAAAGGTCAAAGGGAAAGCTGGTTCGCGAAGAGGTGGCGTGTCTTGTTTGTTTGCTCTTCCTTCTTTTTCTCCCTTATTTTCTCCCTGATTTTCTTCTTTGGAGGGGGGGGGTAGTTTTGCTGTACCCCATTTTGGATTGTCCCGAATCTTGAAACTCGCCCAGGTGCTTGCGTGTCTGTTTGGTCAACGGCACATAAAGACCCCGGAGTGGCTCCGTCTGAATGTCGCACTTCCCAAAGCCTCGGGTAAGAACCATAGAGTCAGAGAGCGCCTCGCGAAGCCCTAAGGGGAACCCAAGCCTCAGTTTGGTGTCCTTTTTTTTCGGGGACACCCGCTCCCCCCCAAAAAAACATATTAATCTTGGTTTGCCTTTTGGTTTCGCTTGAAATCCCACCAAAACAGGGAGAATCCTCAAACACAAAGCCACGCCAGGTAGTTCTCTGCGAACCTTGCCCTCTTAGCGAAGCCGAGCGAAGAAAAAAACAACTGTCGTGCCTAATGGCACTGGCCCTGAGACGATCCAGCGGCACCTCGGTTCAGAGTTTCAGACGTCAGACCCCTGGGGCAAAATCGATCGGTCGTCAGCTTAAACAGGTGGTTTTGTGTTTTTGAGACCGAAACGACCCATCTTACCTTAAACTTTGGATGGATCACGCACCTTGCTGATGTCAAGCGATTCCCCTTTAACATGATCAGTCTTGGTGGCCAGTCTGGTACCACAGGATGGTCTAGGGGTTGATCTGCACTATGTTCAACCATTGTTCTTTTCAAAACCAGATGTTTTCGGCTGTTTTGGCACCCACTTCAACAATCCGGACACATACTTATACCATCTAGACAACGAACTAGCTAACGAGCTACCAAGCTCATTGGCCAACAAGCTGACTAGGTAAGTATCTGACTAACTAGCTAACACACTAGCCAGCTAACAACCAAAGCCAGCTAACTTAACCAGCAAGCTAGCTGAATGATTTGCTTGCTTTCGAACTAGATAACTACCTATCCACTTGCCCAGCTAAAAAGTTTTGCGAACTCGCCCGGCGGACTAGCCCATTAACTTGCTGACTCTCTAACTAACCTGGCTAACTGAGGTAGTTGCTGAACGGGCGAACGAAACAGCTAGCAAACTAGCTGTCTGGCGCAGAAGCTAAATGTTGCCTAGCAAAGTAGCTGAGCAAACAAGCTAAGCAGCTCACCAGCCAACGAGCTAACTCTCGAACAAGCTAACTACCTAACAAGCTAGCTATGCAATTGACGCACTAATTGAAAGCTAACTATCCAATTAGCTAATTTGACTCCACACACGCAAGTCACGCACTTGAAGAGAGCGAGGCAGACAAAGCCGTGCAGGCATGTCATGCGAACCGCTAGCTGCTCAATCATTTGTTGAATCCTCCGCTGCCGGCTCTGCTAAAACTTTGCGGGCATTCATACTGAGCTCGCTAGCGTAAGGCGCGCTGATGAGTTTGCCTGTTCACAAAACGGCAACGTTGCTAGCTATAATCCCAAGCCCATCCAACATTAAACAACTGCGAAGGCAAGCCCATTCTGCGAAATGCAGGTGGAACAATTATATCAAGGAGCTTCTTAAAAGGGCTCAAGCCCCCTTCAATTCTGTTGCTGAGAAATGCTTGGACTCACCAACTCGCCCAACCGAATTGAGCTCCAGACACGGGAGGCCAACGTGGAGTTGACCTCTGCCCTGGCGGTTCCGGCGAAATGGCAAGTGCAAAATGGTCGGAACCTGCCATTTGCTTAAGCCCCCTGGCAAAAATAAACATATGTCTAGTAGTGATAGATTCCCTTCAAACACCAACAGGGGAAAATAAAAAATGTTCTTAAGCAAGTGGAAGGAACCCCGCCTCCCATTTGCAAATGCATCCTCGGAGAAAAGTTTTTTCTAGATTCCCTTTGCAGCCAACAAAGGAATATACACATGCCAAGCAAATGGAAGCAGTGGAATGTGTCGGCCATCTGGCTGCAAAGGGACCCCGTCACGATTTATGTCCTTTTGGTTCAAACCCAACAGCAGGGCAAAGTTGTATTTCCGAGTGGCTCACATACCCCTGGGTTTCAGTGCCAGACGTAGCACAATAAGCACACCTCTGTGCAAAGTCACGTGTGTCACGGGCAAGGGTTCCTGCTCATGTTTGGCCCGTGCTTACCTTTCTATCTCATCTTGCAATGGGACACATGCTCAAATTGCTGCTTGTTTGAGGATGCCGAATCACTGAAAACAATGTTGATCGCCTATGTGCCCTTCGGTTGGGGCCTTCTTGCCAACATCCAAGCCGCCAAACCTGCTGCCTTCAGCACATGACTCATGCGAAGCCGTACAAAAACGAAGGGGATATCATAATTTGAAAGCTTTGCATATGCTGAAGAGGATGCGAACCAGCACAAAACTCAAAGTGGTTGGTTTCGTTTTGCAAGCTTTCCTTTCAAACCATCCCCATGTTGACATAAACCCAAATGCCTTGGAAACGCCTCATTTCCACAGCTCAGAAGGCTGAACTCCGGAGCTAACCCCATCACCTTACCAACAAAACAAAAGTGTTCAAACCAGGGCTGTGGGAAACGACCACTTCTCTGATACAACAAACCGAGACGCAATCAGCTGAAGCTGATTTGGCATGCCCTTGTCCGGAAGGAATTGCCTGCGACTTTCGTTGGACAGCTTCTGTGATCTCATAGTGGTAGCCGGGAAGGTTCAGCTTGGTCGGTCGCGTGAAGTGGGCGCCGCAAATGCGACATGGCTACCAGGCATAACCCATCTCAAGGGCTGGAGCGGACCAGGTTCAGCAGGCACGCCTCGAAAGAGGGCCACTTTGTGTGAAGCCATGGTGCAAACCCGTTCTTGAAAGTGGCCAAGCAGACTTCCCGTCTAAAGCAAAAGCGTCGTGGCAAAAGCAAACGCTGACCAGGCGACGCTCTCCGGGACCGGAACCCTTTGGAGACCTTCACGGGTCGATTCGGCGAGGCTGCCCCGAGCTAACGCTTCTCCTCAGAATCCACGGCAAAACTGAGCCACGGCAAGATCCACTGCCCCTTGCTCCCACCTATCCTTGGCATTTTTTTTGAGGTCCTCGATGTCTTCGAAGAACTTAGCATGGGCTGCTTCTGACGCAGCTTACTTGGCATTCGCTGCTTCTGACGAAGACACCTTCATTGTAGGGCTGCTGGCAGAAGTTGCCAGCCACGCGCTTGGAAGAAGTGCAGCTCAAGCGGTTGCTAGCTTGCGAATCGTCGCAATTCTGTAAAGGGACATTGGAAACAGGGAGACGCATCTTCCAAGTCTAGCAAAGGTCAAGTGCCAAATACATGCCATAGGAGGAAGCAATGTCCGTCAAGTCAGAAAGCCGCGCCGCATATAATACATGGAATCACTGAACAAAGCCCCACATGTCAAGCAGTACATTCCAGGCAACTTGCTGTGCCGAGTCCGAAAAGCACACGCTGCTGATTGCCGAGTGACCCTCAGTGTTGGCCACGGAACTGTCTGAAAGGAAGCCTCGAATTCTGTGCGGCTATCTCCATGGTTCGCATCCTTCGCCTTTGCGAGAGGCAAAGCAATTTTCCAGTAGGCGCGACCCAGCCTCACTCCGGGGAATCAACGCTCCCAGATCCCAGTCAGTATAGTTGGCAACCAGCCAGTATCCCTTTCATATTCAAAGAATCGTTCTCTTTGCTACTACAAAGAAATTGGTTTTATAGGTGCACCCCCCAAAAAAAACTGCCCAAATTGGTGGCTTCCATTTGCTCTCTCTGAAAATTTATCTTAAGCCCAAAAAGGGTGCCGAAAGGCCTCCAAAGAAGACCAGCCCACAGACGCCCAGAGGGAAGCCAAAAGCCGTGGGCCCATGTGAGACTTTGTCGCACAAGGTTCGACGAC